GACATTTGACAACTCAGGGCGCACTCTCATTGGCTGAGCGTGATGACGTCATTGGCTCCGACCCATTTTTGACCAGGTCAGTCTGTGCGGTGATTTATTTATTTTTTTATTTATTTATTATTTTTATGTTGGACACTTGAAGACCTCCGACGCACGGTCTCTGATCTGCGGGCGAGTGCACCCTGCAGTAGTGCCATGAGCCAGTGACAGTGCTCGTATAAGTCGAGGCTGCTGGTTAAAGATGCTTCTCAATAAAGATATATTGTCTTCTATGGCAAAACACCTTTGTATTATCTGAATATATATTAATTATTCTACGCATTTTTGCAATGGAAGGAAGGGTTCATGGAAAACATTAAGAATAATGAAAGTGTAAGAGAAAGGAAAAAGGTTGATATATATATATATATATATATATATATATATATAGGACTATATAGTATATATATATATATATATATATATATATGTACGTTGTGAGGTGTGTGGTCTGTGTATGGTATGTAAGCCGTTATGTATGCGTGTGTGTAATAAGTAGTATATATAGTATGAATAATATGATAGGGTCAGTATTATATACATAATATATATGTAGTAAGGTATATATATATATACAAGTAATATTACATATATGATATACTATTATATATATTATATATTAGTATAATTATATATATACTATACTATGATCCATGTGCATGGGTGAGGTGTGGTGTGTGGCCGTTGCACGTTGTGCGAGAAGACGCCAGATAATCCAGAGAGGAACAAAGAGAACAACGAAATGATCCATCAAGGCAAAATGCGCCCATCACACTAAAACCTCCTATCTTCTAGCAAAAAATCACGTAGGCAATAATAGTGGAATAATAAAAATCCAATTCAAACAAAAAAAAAAAAAGGAAGCGCTATGCAGCACCAAAGTTGACCGGAAGATCGCCAAATATATCTGTGAGAGATTCTGCCACTCCAATCTGGCGTAATATTCCACGCACTAAATAGACGCACTAAAGTTATATTCAGAAGCTTAACTGATAAAACCGTAGCATTGGAAAGCTTTACAGATCCCTTATATTACAAAGTGATGATATTTTCCACTCCATATATATTTTTTTACCTCTCGTTCAGATTACGCCCGGAGTTTGAATGGAAAAAAGGCAATACATTTTATCCCGCCAATCAAATGCATTCAGTCACGTAGCCCCGTGAAGACAGCATTTTCGAATTCAAAAAAGAAGAGAACCAAATTAGTGGAATAGAAGACAGAGAAAGGAATAACGAAGACTCTATACTGCTGAGAATCGGTAAATATTTTACCTATATATGAAATAAAATAGAAACATGAGTATCATAGTATTCCCACTGGTTATCTGATCGAACATAATTAATGACGAACAAGCTTCAAAAAGAATTGAAGAAAAAGTGATTTGGTTGAGCGCCTTCACCCACAGAGTAGCAATTGGGGTTTTGGTGGTTGAGTACCCCAACAAGATAGGGTTAAGAGGGCGGGAAGGCCGGTTGGAGAGGTTCTTACTGCGTGCTTACTTTAGTTACAGTGACAAATAACGCCGCGGAAACAACAGTGCATCATAATCATGACGGGTTACGTTCCTACAACACTTTTCAGCTTGAAGTTCGTTGTATTGGTTGTTTGAAAAGCCTCGTTGGATTACCACAAGGCTGGTTATTTACCCAAATGGCCCGTTCCTT